TTTAACAAGTGCAGTTTCTGTGCTATGGTGGGGCCTGAAACCTAATAATGGTTGAGGTTGGCTCTAGTGTAGAGCTCAGGCTGCTGCTAATGTTCATGAGCATTCAGCGCTGCTCATTCTCCTCATTGAGCACATAACACACTGAGCAGGGGGTACTAAAGATAACCAGCTCCAGCGCATTCCCCACATCCCTGACCCCAGATCACTCATCTGAGCTTCTCCGTGAATCCCATCAGACTCAGAACAGCTCCACACTCACATCCGTCGCTCTCGGACGGGGTTTTTCCTCAGACCGTTCCCTGCGCGCATATCCAGCCCCCGAAGTTTCCAGCTCTCATTTCTAGGAGGCTCTTTTCTATTTGCGACTCTCGTCTAATTCAGGAGCTCGCTGCACCTGAGGGGACGAAACATCCGACTAAAATTAGCACTTCTATTCCCCGTCTTTACTCCGCAGTGGACGTGTCCTGACAGTTCCTCCCTCGTATAGTTTGATCTACAAACGAGACGTGTGAGTTCTGATCCACCTCGTGCCATAATGAAGTGTAAAGCGTGAATGTAAATGTGTGTTTGCATTTGTCTTTCCACACATGATGAAATTATGTTCTCAGTGCTTCATCAGATCTAATTTAGTCCATGGGTTGATCCAGCCTCGAGTCTGGGTCTGATCATCAGCGAGGGCCAAACGGCCCCTGGAGGAGCGGAGGGGCCCTTCACAGATGCATTCATCACATAAGACTCTAGAGAAATGGCTTTTTCAGATAACAGAGGTCAATATGTGAGCACAAAACAAGCCTTAATATCATCATATGGAGTTTGTAGGATCAATCACTCAAGGCAATTGAACATTAAACCAGTTAAAATCATACTAATAAAATTATTTCAGCATGTATATCATGAAATAAGTTAAATTTAGGTCTGTTATTCAGTTTTCAATATTCAATAGTCTATTTTAGATTAGTTTCACTAACTTTTCCATAAAATGAGAGTTGAACCATTTGGTTGGGTATGTCTTAAGACAGTAAAATATAAATAAATAAATAAAATAATGGGTAATGAGTAGTGGTTAAATCAGATTATATTGATCATATTCTCAATGATCTCTATTAAATAGTTGAGCAGAATAAAAATGAAATTAAAAGTGTCGATTGCGACATTAAATTTAGATCTGCCCATGTTTCATCCTATGGATATCCTATCCAGAAAGTACAAACATAGTGCACACATAGATATAATCTAAGGTAATAAAGTTAAATAAAACACTAATAATAGAGAGAATAGACAATAAATAAAAAATACAATATGGTAATAAAATATAGAGAAAAAGAAAATTCCAATACTGTAGACAGAATAGTGACAGATGCCCACCTCCATCCAGTGGCGCCGCTAGCAATTTTGGGCCCTATGAAAGAATATGGGGTCTGGCCCCTACCGCACCAAACATACACTATACTGCCCAAAGTATTGGCACCCCCTTCTAATGAACAGGTTTGACTACTTTAGTCATTTCCACACGTACAAATCTTAATGTTTAAGCATATAATGCTATTCTAGGGAATTGTGTGCTTCTAATTTTATACCAATAGTTTGAACAGGACCCTTTTGTATTCTAGCACGACAATGCCTCTGTGTATAAGACAAGGTTAAATAAAAGATTGATCGAGTCAGCGTGGAAGAACTGGACTGGTCTGCAGAAAGCCAAGTCCTAATCCCAGCTGAACACCTCTGCTGTGACTTTAAATGCAGACCTTGAGCCAAAAACTCATTTTTTAATCAATGGAGGAAACAGGCTTCCATAAGTAGTTGATAGACTACAATAACCCTGGAGCTGGTTCACTCTCTGTGGAGCCAAATCTGCTCCGTTCCATCCTGTGCGTCCAAGTGCGCATGCGCGTAGCAGATGAGTAGTGAGTGTCCTGCGTCGCCATCTGCTGGTCACTGCAGAAAACACCAAGCACTGCTGGTCAACTCAACTAATACAGACCTCACATTCAGTTTGCGCTTGATTTGCAAAATTGTAAAGTTATTAAAAATAGACTTCTGTATAATTGTGCTCTGCAGTGTTTAGAGGAGCTGAAGAATAAGCTGTAGTAAATATGCAGTAAAATCACTTGTCTTGCCCTGCAACTTACACACATTATGCTTGACTTGTGTTTTGTAGTTTTAGTATACTTAAGATCATCCTTTTCAATTCAATTTAAAAACATTGTATAGCGCTTTTCACAATACACATTGTTTCAACAGAAGATGCATGTACATTACAATTTAATTCAATTTATTATTCGATTTAATGTCATCCTTCCCAACAAATAATACTGCTCATATAAAAACACCAGTTTTACTTTAGCAAAGAATACAAATGGCATATTCAGAAAAGAGCAGTTGGACGAAATTCGCTCAAATAAAATTACAATGCCATATAATATAATATAAATAGGCTATCTAATCTAACATCATCGGGAGTCATCAGAAACTGAAAGACGGGAGTATAACTGAAGTATCTGTTTTGTTTTGTGTGAATCGAAAGCGTTTTTGTTTTTTTCGCGCGCCAGCTCAATACCTCACGAAGATTCTCCTCATCTGGCGCGTTGCTGTTTGGCGCGCTTTTGCAGTTTGAAACTTGAACGGTTAGACACACAGAGCAGCTGCGTCACACGGACGTGCAGTGATGGAGCGCGTGAAGACGATCACCAAAGATCTGGACGAGAAGACCCTCTCTTTATTAAAGAAGAGACTCGACAAGCTCTTGAACAGGTAGCCATTTTGCGATTACGATGCGATAATCGAACCTTTAACGTTTATATAGCGTGTGTGTACAGCATAACAATGAATCTTAATAGGAAAATAGGCTCTGAACGATTCGAATCATTCCGAGAACCGTTTGACCAATTTATTGATAACAAAAATGATTTGCTAGTCCATACCAGAAGATAATACGGTACATAGTCTATTTAGCCAGTTCGATTGGGATTTAGCAGTGTTTTACCTGACGTTGATATTTTGCTAAAAAAGATCCCTTTCATGACACAAGGCTCTTTTTATGGTATTTACATTGTATTTGTTAGCTGTGTAAATGTATGTAATATTCTAATTCTATTAAACTCGATGACCATTTCGCCAAGAGACATCAAAACAACTGTAACACACTCAGAATATAATTCTTTGTGTAGCTCAAACTTTGTGAATAAATGGCATTTGTGGCATGGTTATTTGGTTGGCGTTTCTCCAACTAGTTGCCTTTTTGTTGCCATATTTATGTTATCTGGCCTATAAATAAATTGTATAGAAGAGACTCGACAAGCTCTTGAACAGGTAGCCATTTTGCGATTACGATGCGATAATCGAACCTTTAACGTTTATATAGCGTGTGTGTACAGCATAACAATGAATCTTAATAGGAAAATAGGCTCTGAACGATTCGAATCATTCCGAGAACCGTTTGACCAATTTATTGATAACAAAAATGATTTGCTAGTCCATACCAGAAGATAATACGGTACATAGTCTATTTAGCCAGTTCGATTGGGATTTAGCAGTGTTTTACCTGACGTTGATATTTTGCTAAAAAAGATCCCTTTCATGACACAAGGCTCTTTTTATGGTATTTACATTGTATTTGTTAGCTGTGTAAATGTATGTAATATTCTAATTCTATTAAACTCGATGACCATTTCGCCAAGAGACATCAAAACAACTGTAACACACTCAGAATATAATTCTTTGTGTAGCTCAAACTTTGTGAATAAATGGCATTTGTGGCATGGTTATTTCTGGTTATGCCGTTTCTCCAACTAGTTGCCTTTTTGTTGCCATATTTATGAGCTATGGTTATGGGTTATGTTATCTGGCCTATAAATAAATTGTATATAAAGTCAGGATTTGAGTTTGGGTCTCACGCATGATAAATGAAGACTGATGATGAGTCCATGGTGATCAGGTTTGTTAATGATGTGCTTGCAGGTGTTATGAATACTGCCATCAACCTTTATTTTGGACACAATTTTTGCTTTTGTACATGAACATATAACTCTATCTTTTTCTTCACACCGCTGCAGAACAACAGGGAGTTTGGAAGACACCACAGAGGCCCTACTAAAAGAGCGTGGAAAGAAAGAAGTATTAAAAAGGGTCAAGTGCACGCTGAAGAAAATCAGGAAAAAGATGCATACCAAACATACGAGAAGATGTATAATTTCCTTATGTTTCTCAGTCTTCAATATGTTTTACTATAATATTTACACCGTTTTGGATATTTATGTATTTTATTTATTTATTTTTAAACAGATGTTGACGGCGTTCAAACACATTCTGGACACATGAGAGTTCAAAAGCATAACAGTCTTCCCCAACATAATGATAATAATAATAATACTAATTCTGTATCACATGGACAACTGCCGATTCAGACCCCAAATCAGTGTAACTTAGCAATTGACCAGAAGGACGGTTGTACAGCATTTGCTCCAATCATGGCAGAAAACACCATATTTGGTGGCGTTATCATGAACCAACATGTGGTGAGTGTCTGACCATTAAAATACTGTAATGTACATTTTGTAGAGTTACACATTTAAAGTGATAATTCACCCAAAAATGGAAATTCTGTCATTTACTCACCCTGAAGTCATTCCAAACTTGTACGAGTTTCTTTCTTCTGCTGAACACAAAAGAAGATATTTTGAAGAATGTTAGGAACTAAACAGTTGATGGTAGCCATTTACTTCCATTATATGGAAACACACTATGGATGTCAACTGTTTGGTTCCCAACATTCTTCAAAACATCTTTTGTGTTCAGCAGAAGAAAGAAACTCGTAAAGTTTTGGAACGACATCAGAGAGTCATTCCTATCAAGAAATCATGATTACAGAAATGAATTACAGCTAAAAAGAGGTCAAAGTCTAATTTGTGTGATTGTTGTGGCCTTGGATGAACACTGTGATTCCAGCAGACTCTTGTTTATGATATGGATTTTGCGTATGTTATACTGCATATATTTATGTATGTTTGTTTTTTTAAGCCACAGGCGTCCCACTCTACCTCAGTAAACAAACATGGTAAGAATAGTTGTAGAACACTGTTTATTCATAAGCGTGATGCTCCTGTTAATGATATGACTTTCCAACTTTGTCCTGATGTTTAGAAGTTCTTCAGAAAGTAAAGAATAAAATGAAATCAAAAATGAGGAGTGAATCTGAGCAGATTTTGCAAGGAATCAAGGAGTCGGTCTCTCTGAACAAGATCTACACACAACTGTCTATCATCAATGACGAGTCGGACCCCATCAACAGAGAACATGAGATCTGGCAGATCGAGACGACGCATGATTTAAACACATCAGCACCGACGGACATAAACTACAATCAAATCCTTCAACCGCCCACAGATGAGAACAGAACCATAAAGACTGTTCTGACCAAAGGAATTGCTGGAATTGGGAAAACGTTCACCGTGCAGAAGTTTGTCCTCGACTGGGCAAGCGGAGAATCAAACCAAGATCTGGATTTTGTGTTTCTCTTCCCGTTCAGAGAGCTGAACTGGCTTGAGGAAGAAAAGCAGAGTCTTTTTGACCTGATCTGTGTGTTTTACCCTGAGTTTACAGAGGCAAAACAGATCACTGAATGGATCTGCAATAGGAAGGTTCTGTTCATCTTAGATGGTCTGGATGAATATAAAAAGGGTTTGAACTTTAACAGCCTTTTGTCGGATGTGACTAAAGAAGCCACAGTGGACGTCCTTCTGGTAAACCTTCTGCGAGGAAAACTTCTCCCGTCCGCTCACGTGTGGATCACCAGCCGTCCCGTCGCAGCTGGACAGCTTCCGTCTGAGATCTTCCGAAAGGGGTACATCACGCATATCAGAGGATTCAGAGATGAGCAAAAGGAGGAGTACTTCAAAAAGCAATTTGAGAATACAAAGCTAACCGAAGAAGTTATCTGTCACCTAAAGTCTCAAAAGAGCCTGTGGATATTGTGCCACATACCTCTGTTTTGTTGGATTTCATCGGTTGTTCTCAAAGACATCATCGAAAATCGGAATAAAAATAGAAATGTACCATCGAATCTGACAGAAATGTACATCCACTATCTGCTCATTCAGAGTGGACTGAGCCACAAGAAATATCAAGTGGAAGAGCTGTCACAGCAAGACGCTCTCCAGAAACATAAAGAAGTGATTATGAAACTGGCAGAGCTGGCATACAGGCAGCTGAAGGAACAGAATGCCATCTTCAGAGAAGAAGACTTGAAGAAATATGATATCACTGTTGAAGAAGCGTCTCAGTATCCCGGCGTCATTACCTGTATCTCAGTGTGCAAATTTCTGTTTTACGAGAGCAAACTTTTCAGCTTTGTCCATCTCAGTGTCCAGGAATTCTTTGCAGCCATGTTTGCGCTTCAAAAATTTCTATCAGGAAAACAAGGCTCCCTGGAATTGATTACAGCTAAAAAGAAGCAGAAGTCAACTTTGTGTGATTTTCTCAAAAATTTGATTGATGAGGCTTTGAAAAGCAAAAATGGACACTTGGACCTCTTTAACTGTTTTGTCTTTGGGATTTCTTGTGATTCCAGCAGACAGTTACTTGAAGGATTCCTGCCTTCAGTCTGGAGCAGTAGTTCAGATGATCACAGAAAAGTGGCCACGTACATCAAGTCTTTGAAGAGGCAAGGTCTGTCTTCTGAGAGATGCATCGGTCTGGTTCGTTGCCTGGTGGAGCTCAAGAACCGGTCACTTTTACAGGAAATGCATGATCTTAAACGCTCGCAGTGCAAAGAGCCCCTCACACCGTTCCAGTGCACACTTCTGGCTCACCAGTTTGTGATGTCAGATACGAAACACGATGAGTTTGACCTCAGGAAATACAACATCCGCTTAGACGGGTTTCAGAGATTCTCCCCAGCCATCACACACTTCAGAAAGGCTCTGTAAGTACTGTAGGCTCTTCAGAATGTTTCATGAAATATTCCCAGTCCAATTTGAATATAACGGAGATTAAAAGTAAAATTGCAGCAGTTAAATTCAAGATTGTAACCGTTGTAATGCAAGATTGTGACAGTTTTAATGTAAAACTGTAACAGTGAAATGCAAAACTGTAACAGTTTAAAAGGAAAATTGCAGCAGTTATATGCAAGATTGTAACAGTTTTAATGTGAAATCATAACAGTTTTAATGCAAGATTGTAACCGTTTTAATTGAAATCATAGCAGAGTTTTAAAGGGTTACTGTCACCTAAAGTCTCAAAAGAGCCTGTGGATATTGTGCCACATACCTCTGTCTTGCTGGATTTCATCGGTTGTTCTCAAAGACATCATCGAAAATCAAAACAAATATAGAAAGATGCCCTCAAATCTGACAGAAATGTACATCCACTATCTGCTCATTCAGAGTGGACTGAGCCACAAGAGATACCAAGTGGAAGAGCTGTCACAGCAAGACGCTCTCCAGACACATAAAGAAGTGATTATGAAACTGGCAGAGCTGGCATACAGGCAGCTGAAGGAACAGAATGCCATCTTCAGAGAAGAAGACTTGAAGAAATATGATATCACTGTTGAAGAAGCGTCTCAGTATCCCGGCGTCATTACCTGCGTCTCAAAGTGCACATTTGGATATAAGAAGACCAAACTTTTCAGCTTTGTGCATCTCAGTGTCCAGGAGTTCTTTGCAGCCATGTTTGCGTTTCAAGAATTTCTATCAGGAAAACAAGACTCCCTGGAACTGATTACAGCTAAAAAGAGACCCAACTCTAATTTGTGTGACTTCATCAAAAATTTGATTGATGAGGCCTTGGAAAGCAAAAATGGACACTTGGACCTCTTTAACTGTTTTGTCTTTGGGATTTCTTGTGATTCCAGCAGACAGTTACTTGAAGGATTCCTGCCTTCAGTCTGGAGCAGTAGTTCAGATGATCACAGAAAAGTGGCCACGTACATCAAGTCTTTGAAGAGGCAAGGTCTGTCTTCTGAGAGATGCATCGGTCTGGTTCGTTGCCTGGTGGAGCTCAAGAACCGGTCACTTTTACAGGAAATGCATGATCTTAAACGCTCGCAGTGCAAAGAGCCCCTCACACTGTTCCAGTGCACACTTCTGGCTCACCAGTTTGTGATGTCAGATACGAAACACGATGAGTTTGACCTCAGGAAATACAACATCCGCTTAGACGGGTTTCAGAGATTCTCCCCAGCCATCACTCGCTTCAGAAAGGCTCTGTAAGTACTGTGAGGCTAAACATCTTCAGAATGTTTCATGAAATATTCCCAGTCCAATTTGAATATAACGGAGATTAAAAGTAAAATTGCAGCAGTTAAATTCAAGATTGTAACCGTTGTAATGCAAGATTGTGACAGTTTTAATGTGAAATCATAACAGTTTTAATGCAAGATTGTAACCGTTTTAATTGAAATCATAGCAGAGTTTTAAAGGGTTACTTCACCCAAAAGTGAAAATTAGCCCATAAATTACTCACCCCCGAGGCACCCTAGGTGTGTATGACTTTCTTCTTTCAGACGAATCCAGTCAGAGTTATATTAAAAATGTTCTTTGATCTTTCAAGCTATTTCATGGCACTCAGCGGATGTTGCATGAATCAGTCCAAAAGAAGTGAAATAAAAAGCGGCCATCCATAAAAAAAGTGTCTCACACGGCTCCGGGGGGTGAATAAAGGCCTTCTGTAGCGAATCAATGCGTTTTTGTAAGAAAAATATCCATATTTAAAACGTAATAATCACTTAAATCTAGCTTGCGCCAGCAGTTGTACACAGAAGCAGCTCCAGAAGGATGACGTATGAGGTCGGCTTTGCGCATGCAGCGTTCAGAAATGACGAATGCGGAAACACAGTGAAGAGATCAAAACAAAACAACGGTCAAGAATTAGAAGTACAAAACGAGGATTTGTAAAGAAGAATGTCGGAGGATTTCGATATAAGCCAAGAGGAGACTGGTTTTCCTTTGCTAAAGTAAGGAAACTTTGCTTCCTTTGCTCCTGTTAACAAACGCTGGTTTTCACGAGACTCACGGTGCATGCGCAGCGCTGAACTCATACGTCATCCTTCTGGAGCTGCTTCTGTGTACAACAGTGAGCGCAAGCTACATTGAAGTGATTATTACGTTTTGAATATGGATATTTTTCTTACAAAAACGCATCGATTCGCTACAGAAGACCTTTGTTCACCCCCCGGAGCCGTGTGAGACACTTTTTATTATGGATGGGCGCTTTTTATTTCACTTCTTTTGGACTGAAGCATGCAACACCCGCTGAGTGCCATTAAACAGCTTGAGAGATCAAAGACAATTTTTAATATAACTCCGACTGGATTCGTCTGAAAGAAGAAAGTCATATACACCCAGGATGACTTGAGGGTGAGTAATTTATGGGCTAATGTTTGGGTGAACTAACCCTTTAATGCAAGATTGTGTTTCAATGCAAGTTTTTAACAGTTTAAAGGCAAGCTTGTAATGTTTTAATGCTAAATCGTAACAGTTTTATTGCAATATTGACAGGCTCAAGGGAAGCGGATTTACAGAGCAGCACTGTGGGATCCTGACGCGTTACCTGACATCACCAAACTCTCACCTGACTCATCTCGACCTGAGTCACAATGCTCTGGGTCTGTCCGCACTGCAGCAGCTTTCCACGGCGCTCTGTGCTCCCAACTGCCTGATTCAGATTCTGAACCTCAGCCACAATAACTTCCAGAGTCAGGACATGGAGCAGATCAGGGATGTGCTCTCTGGAGAAAACGTGAATCTGAGAGTCCTGGACCTCAGCGACAATCCTCTACAGGATCCAGGAGTGGAAGTTATTTCAGATGGACTGAAGAGCCCAAACTGTCATCTTGAAGTTCTGAAGTAAGTCAAACTAACCACAGACATCATTTGTCTCATTTATCTCTGATTCCAAACACATAGATAAAGAGGATTTGCTTTACAGGCTTTCAGGCTGTCAAATTAAAGGAGGAGTTTATCAGCTGATGTCATCTTTGAAAGTCAATTCTTCATATCTGAGAGAGCTGGACCTGCGCTATAATGATTTTGGAAACATCGGACAGCAGAATCTACAGCATGATCTGTCCTCACTGAGGTACTGTAGCTTGTAGGTTGATCCACTTCATCCGTGAGACTAGTAATGAGGACTTTGACAGGTTACATTGTTAAACCAGTAGGTGGTTACCATTCATAAACATCATCTAGCATTATTGCTCAGTAGGTTCAATAGGTAGGTTTTGGTTAAAACTACCACAGCAGTCATGTCTCTACTATTAGAACGAGACTACAGTGAACGCGTAACACAGATCAGTGCAGGAAACTCAACAGGACTGTACCATTCACTTGGAAGATTTGTTCAGAAACATTTTGCTAACAAATTTGAATCAGACAAAGTATTTGGAAATTGTTACAAGTATATGTGTTGTACATTCTGTAATGGGACTATCCATTCATGTTTTATAATGGTGTGATTCTCTAACTAGTATTTCCTCTGGAGGAGAATGCCGTGACCAACCAGGACTGGATAAATGTGAGTTTAAACATGCATATGGATGATTTTGTCCTCTACCCACACGCATGTGCTGCTGGAGACAGCTGAAAGACTTGTTACTCGTGCTTATTATGTCATATGTAATTATAGACATTAGGTAATTGTAGAAAGATTTTAATGTAAAAACATTCACCTTCTGTGAAGCTGCTTTGAGACGTTATGCATTGGGAATTTCTAAATGTGAATTGAACATATAAGCTGAAGTTTTCTGATAAATCTCTGCTTTTAGATTTGGTAGCGCTCACCTTTGACCCTCAGACGGCTAATGAATACCTCTATCTGAGCGAGAACAACACTGTGGTCACTTGTCAGAAAGAGAAACAGCAGCTTCCTGCTAACGGCGAGAGATTCGACATGTGCAACCAGGTCCTGAGCCGCCAGCCACTGATTAGACGCTGCTTCTTTGTGGTGGATGTGATTGGCCTAGACGTGTATGTGGGCGTGGCCTGTAAGGAAATGGGGAGGAACGGAGCGAGTTACGCAGTATGTCTGGGACACAATAAGATGTCGTGGAGTTTATGTTTGTCAGATCATTTAAATGTGGCTCATCACAACAAAAAAACTGTATCAATTCAATCAGAGTCCGTCAGAAAACTGGGTGTGTTTGTGGACCGTGATGCTGGTTCTGTTTGCTTCTATATGTTGAGTCCACAGCATAAACTCTTGTACATGTTTGATGCAGATTTTCCTCAGGACCAGGAGCTTTATGCTGCGTTCAGGATTCAGGAGCCAAACAGCTCAGTCGTTCTCATGCAAGAATCACAATAAATTAGCAGATGTTTGAACATTCAGAAGTTTTACTGGACATTTTAGTCGGAGGAGCTGCGATACTATACAAGCGCTCCAGGCGACGCAAGTTAAGACAGCGCGGTTTTAGGACTCGAGCATTCATCTGGCGAATCTCCGCTCCCTAGCAAATAAATCAGACGAACTACTACTTCTTACCCACACAAACAAGGACGTTCTAAACTCTGCTGTGCTTTGCTTCACGGAAACCTGGCTGAACGGATCCATCCATTTGGAAGCTCTCTTTATTAACTGTAAGCCTCTTTATTCACCATTGGAGTTTTCCTCCTTTATTTTGGTGAGTGTGTACATTCCTCCTGATGCGCGTGTGAGCGCAGTGCTACAGCTGTTGGCTGATCAGATCACACACACAGAGCAGCGTTATCCAGACTCTTATATATCTAATATACTGGACCACTGCTACACTGTTTTAAAGGATGCATACCACTCTGTCCCCCGAGCAGCTCTGGGACTCTCTGATCACTGTTTGGTTCATCTTCTACCAGCCTACAGGCAGAAACTCAAATCTGCTAAGCCTGTAGTAAGAACTGTAAAGAAATGGACTGTTGAAGCAGAGCGGGATTTACAAGCCTGCTTTGACCTCAATAATTAGAGTGTTTTCGAGGCTGCAGCTACTGATCTGGATGAGCTCACCGACAGCGTGACATCCTACATCAGTTTCTGTGAGGACGTGTGTGTTCCCACCAGGACTTATTTAACATTTAACAATGACAAACCTTGGTTCAGTGCAAAACACAAACAGCTTCGCCAGGCCAAAGAGGACGCCTACAGGAGTGGGGACAAAGACTTGTACAAACAGGCCAAATACACACTGAATAGGGAGATAAGAGTGGCAAAGTTAAACTACTTTGAAAAGCTAAAAACAGCTTTCAAGCAATGACCCTGCATCAGTGTGGAAAGGCCTGAAAGCCATCACCCGCTACAATACCCCATCCCCCAGCACTGAGGCCAATCAACAACTGGCTGAAGACCTGAATGAGTTTTACTGCAGGTTTGAAAAGCCTGGTCTGACACCCCACACCCACTCCGACCGTCTCACAGTGCAGCCATCAACACCATCCCTCCTACTGTTTCTCAGCCTCCACTCAAGATCTGTGAAGATGATTTAAGCAAAGTCTTCAGAAAGCAGAAGATAAGGAAAGCCAAAGGCCCAGACGGTGTCTCTCCAGCCTGCCTCAAAGCCTGTGCTGTCCAGCTATCATCCATCTTCACATCGATCTTCAACAGATCACTGGAGCTGTGTGAAGTCCCCTCCTGCTTTAAATGCTCCACCATCATCCCTGTACCCAAGAAACCAAAAATCACAGAACTTAATGACTACAGACCTGTTGCTTTAACATCTGTGGTCATGAAG